CAGTTGCTTTACAGATTCAGATTATTAATACAAAATATAAATCAATAATAAATGATGATTTATCATAGATGAAACTACCCATCATATAAAGTCTTTAAAATGAGCTCCACTTTTACCAGCTGCAACATTAAAATGATGACCACATTAATGCATCAATCATTAGAATACAATAATATGATATACACTCATCTTCCACTTTATCAGGTACACCTTGCGAGTACCAGGTTGGACCCCCTTTTTAATTCTTGGTGACATAGATTTAACAAGGTGCTGGAAACAGATTTTGGTCCATATTGACATGATAGCATCATGCAGTTGTTGCAGATTTATCAGCTGCACATCCATGATGGAAATATCCCATTCCACCACATCCCAAAGGGGCTGTATTGGACTGAGATCTGGTGACTGTGGAGGCCATTGGAGTACAATTTGCTATTGTCCATTTCTGGTGAGCCCCTGTGAAGTGTAGCTTCATTTTCCTGTTGTTAGGTGACAGGAGTGGCACCTGATGTGGTCTTCTGCTGCTGTGGCCCAGCTGCTTCAAGGTTCGACATGTTGTTTGTTCAGAGATAGTCCTCTGCATTCCTTGGTTGTACGTTTTTTGAATTACTGTTGCCTTTCTATCATCTTGAACCAGTCTGGCCATTCTCCTCTGACCTCTGGTATCATCAAGGCATTTTCACCCAGAGAACTGCTGCACACTGGATATTTTCTCTTTTTTGGACCATCCTCTGTAAACCCTTGAGATGGTTGTGTATGAAAATTCCAGCAGTTTATGAAATACTTGTCCAGCTCATCTGGCACCAACACCCATGCCTCATTCAAAGTCACTTAAACCACCTTCTTTCCTCATTCTGATGCTTGATTTGAACTTCAGCAGGTCGTCTTCACCATGTCTACATGCTTAAATGCATTGAGTTGCTGCCAGGTTATTGACTGATTAGCTATTTGTGTTAATGAGCAGTTGAACAGGTGTACTTAATAAAGTGGCTGGTGAGTCAATATATTATTCGGAAATGGGCCGTTCTACACGAGAAGTACTTTTGGTACTTTAAGTCTATTTTGATGTTAATTCTTTTGTATTTTTTATTTTTTTTTCTTGGGCATTTTGCCTTTAATGAATAGGACAGCCAAGTGTGAAAAGGGGAGAGAGAGAGGGAGGATGACATGCAGCAAAGGGCCACAGGCTGGATTCGAACCCGGGCTGCTGCGGCAACAGCCTTGTACATGGGGCATCTATCCACTAAGCCATCGACGCCCCAATTCTTTTGTACTTTTTTGCGACTCTTTTGCAGAACGTAACATTTCTAAATTGTGGTTTTGTCATTCATGCTTGGGTAAAGAATCTGAGTACCTCTTCCACCATTAATATTGACTTAATTACAATAATATGAACAAATAAAATGATTTTACATGATAAAATAAAACCCTCCGGTCCAAACATATGCCCTACAACAGGATCGTACCAGACCTGATAAAAGTGGAGATAAAGATATTTAATGGAAACGTGCACGACTCATCTTTCATTTTTTGCTGAAACTTCAGAAAATCATTAAAAACTTTGTGCAACATTTGAATGTCAATGGAGGCGATGAAGCAGCAGACTGGACAACAGATTGAATATGCTCAGGAGCCAAAAAGAAAAAAAAGAACACCAGATAATTATAACCAACCCAAAATAGAAGGAAAAAATACAACAGAAGTGTGAGAGGGAGAGAGAAAGATGGATGGAGGGATGAGGAGAGGAGAAGCAGTGACAGTCTAATACTTTGTTGTATCAGTTAGACAGATTTCATCAACAGGGAGATGAGACACAGAAAGTAATTACAGTGCAGTGTGGAGAGAGAGAAGATGGAAGAAACAGGTTCAACAACATCAGCTAAAATAAAGCGGATTCATTAGAAACAGAGGAGGATCAAACAACAAGCAGTCACTCTCAGGTATAAACTGGAGATATCTGCACATCCTTTAACAGAAACACGATTGAAACAGAACTGTCCTGTAACACTTTAAATTACACATCAGTTATTTATATCACACTATCATGCTGTTGTAATCAAACATTACTAGATTTTTAATTTGTTATAACTTCTATAGTTGACAGTTATTAGATCAGCAATTACTGTATAACAGAAAATGCACACTAGGATATGTTTGGTATAGACCCTTTTTAGGGCTGACAGCACGATGACCTCATTTTATTAGCTGCATGCAAAACCTACCTCTCTACCACAGGACTGTAGGCTACATAGGAGTCTTAAAATATAGACAACAGAAAGTTGAGCGAACCTGAAGAAGCCACAGGCGAAACGTGTTGTTCGCTCTTAATAAAATCACAGTATCTCAGTTCAGTGTGCAGTGATTTATGTTAACACTTAATATCATGTTAGTGTCAAAGTATTTCCTGTTGTTGAATAACGTTATGTGTATTAAGGGTTATCTTGTCCACCTCATCAGAAACTGAGGAGGTATTAAGAGGAATATTGGATTTCTCTGTAATGCTAACATTTCAGCGCATTAGCTTATGTTAGCGTCAATAGCAATACAAACTGGATGAAACCGTTCAAGTGTCGTCCTCCTTTGTAAGATTGGCATAGTAATCAACCACAAAGCTTCCTGTGACATCATCCATCCACTGAGTGAGAGCATATGGGTTGGCCAGTCTGGTCCCGTTGGTCAGTGTTCAGTTATTCAAGTAACACAATCCCGGAGAGTGAGTGACCTGACATGGTGCGTTCGTAAATTCAGTCTGACGCTCTACACTGAATTGACAGCCCTGCTGGTCGAAGAAACGGAGCATTATATTTCTACATGAATTAAAGAATGGTTAAGTTAATCACACAGTCACTCCACTCGGCGCTCTGTTGCTCCATCTCCCCAGACAGAGTGCCCAGACTGCGCTCTGACACTCTGAAAACGTGGTGCTCTGGATGACAGAACGGTACATTCTGACAGTGCTCTGAATTTACGAACAGTCCAGTTTGTGCCAGAGTGCACTCTGGCACTCAAAATGAGTATTTCTGAATGCAAAACTTATATCATCTTCCTCCATCGTCTAAAACAAACCAACAGAACTTGCTAGCTAGCGCTCGCTAATGTCTGTGGAGAATTGTTTTGACTCCAGCTAAGCCCCGCCCACCAAAAAACATCATACTGTTTGATAACAGTAAAAGGGTCTATAGATCTTCTGTGTGTGAAGCATCCATGTTTTCACAGACATGAATGTAAACTGTAATGCCTGGTTCACACTACACAACATTTTTGTCTTTTCTGACATGAATCATCTTTGAATTGAATTGAATTGAATTGTTCATTTATCTCGAACAGTTCAACATATCAGCTGACAATTCTTCTTAAAAAGTCAAACGACCAGAATAGAAATTAATTGTACAGTCAGCTAATTCAACACACATTAATTTACAAAACACCATATTATATGTCCGAGAAGGGACAGAAAGAAGCCATGCTTGTCTAGTCCTGCCCCTCCTTACTACTTCATTAGATTAAGTTTAAATAATAGCCGCTTTACAATGCAAAATAGATAGCCTACCAGAGGCAAACCAACTTAATGCCACAAAATGTAAAATAAAATATACTAAGTATGTACAATTATCATTTTTCAAGCTCTTTCTTATACGTCCATTTCTTATACGTCCATATATGTCCATGATTGATTGTTTATAGATGCTTTTGAATTTTCTTATATGATTACTCCTTTTGGTCATTTCGTCCAAGCCATTCCAAAGCAGCACCCCACAGAGATGCACATGCACAAGCGCATCGGCTCTACAGTGCACAACACTGCTGATTAACCATTTTATTGCAGCACAGAGTGTCTGCCAGCAACCAATTACTTGCAGAGGCTTCCTACAACTTGTTTCAACGGTTCCGATTTAATTAGAAGACAAATTATACTGGATGACTAGCCAATGTGAAAATCAAAAGAAAGCATAGAATAATGTACTGAAGGAGATTGTTGTGCCATCACATTTTTTTTGTGGTTTGAGAGCAAAGATCTGGTCGCTGCTGTACAAAACTCCGCAATACAATTAGGTCTGAAAAAACCCCGGAGTCCGCGGCCACCCCCACTGTGTCTTGTTTTACCCAGTGTTCCGATGCTTCTTGCTATCTTTGCACACAAATAGGCTACTTTATGTGAGGATTCCAGCATAGTTTGTGATCTATTGTAATACCCAAGAACTTGTTCTCTCTGAAGAGTGCAGGCGCTTTCCTGCTTGCTCCAGCCTGCTTCCTTCTTTACTCTGCTTTTTAATCGTTTTACTCCTTCTACAAATCCTGGAAAATCTCTATATCCATCATTTCATGAATTATTTTAAGTAAACCAAGACTTTGAAGAACATTTTTATATTTTTAACCGATCTGATGAGCCAGCAGCATGTCCGGAGGAAGAAACCAAACAAATTCCTTCTGTGAACGCTGTTGGAGATATCAACAAGAAATTAATGAGCTACAAGCACGGATTTTTGCTTTAGAATCTGAAAAAGGACTTCACAAGACGCTCCCAGTGACATCCGGTGGTAAGAAGCCCACAGTTACTTTCAGTAAAAAGGGTGAAAAACCTGCTACTTTCATCTTAAACCTGAGTGATACTGTGTCTTTTCCAAAATTCTGTAAAGACCAAAATGCCTCATCCTGGAGAGAACTTGGTGCTAAGCCAAAGCAGCACAAAGTGATGAGAGACAATGTTAATACCTACGTAACATCACCCAAAATACAGCTTACAAACAGATTTTTGCCACTGTCAGAGACTGAATTTAATGTTTCTAACGAACAAAGAGAAAATGGATTATCTTCACGAAACTGGAGCCATAAAGTCGGCAAAAGACAGCAGGCAGACAGACAATCTGGACCAAACGTCAAGGTCAGAGATACGCTGCTGATAGGAGACGGTGCTATCAGTGGCATAAACCACGGAAGAATTCAAACATGCTGCTGTCCCAGTGCCACTGTCTCTGAGATAACAACACTCCTCCCAAAAGTTTTGTCTACACACCGAGGAGTCAAACAGCTGATCGTGCACGTGGGTGCAGTGGACATCAGAAAGGAACAGACTGAAGTCTTGAAAAGGGATTTCACTAAGTTCTTCAAGGAGCTTGATAAAGTGGAGGTCAAGGCATTCATTAGTGGACCTCTTCCAAACATAGACAGGAAGATAAACAAGTTCAGCCGGCTGCTTCAGCTGAACACATGGCTGTCCAAAGAGTGTGCGCACAGAGGATTGCACTACATTGAGAACTTTTATCTGTTCTGGAAACGAGAGGACCTGTTCAAGGGAAAGGGCCCACACCTGTGCAGAGGTGGGAGGAGAGTGCTGACGGAACACCTCCTCCACGCTCTGAGGCATCAGAATGGGCCGGGACAGGGTCCTGAGCGACCAGTGAGAGAAAAGAGGAACGAGAGAAGCATCTCTGTCGCAGAAGCCAGAGACCGAGCCAGTGTTTCAGCACCAGCTGCACCACAACAGCCTCCACCGCCTCCAGCGAAGGATTCAGCTCCAGCACCACAACAGCCTCCACTGCCCCCAGTGAAGGATTCAGGCCCGCCATCGGTTCCACCTCCCCCCGGGCCCTCATCACAGGCCTTGGACTCATCTGTGACGGCCCCAGCAGAAGTTTCAGACCTGGCAGCACCCCCATTACCTCCTCTACCCACAGACCAGCCCTGGGGCCCCCCTGCCACATCTACCCCCTCTAGAGACTTGTCCCTCTCCTTTTCATCCCCACCTTCCCCCATGGGCCTTCCCAACCATCTTGAAAGCCTGATCAAATCAGGGATTAAGATGGTTCCCCTCACCCCTAATATAGCAAGGTCAAGACTTCTATCACCAACTATGCTGAACTCTTCCCCGTATAAAACTGTGCCCCTCAAGTCACACAGGAGCTTCAACTCTCCTGCTTCACAAACTAAAGCTCCCCCAGCTCCTCCCCCTCGGTTTTCATCTGGTCCATCACCCAAACTTCCCCCTGCTCGTCCTCCCCTGCCTGCCCCCAGAGCTGGTATCCCTAAGAGCTAGGATGCACAGGGCCTCTGCTGTCCCAGGACTTACAGCCATGATAAAGGTAATATCAAGCTGGGGCCCTGTGAGACAATATTCTCCCCTAGTGCTATATCTACAGCCACACCACATAGACCAGATTACAGAAGGACAGTTAGACTGTCCAATCAGAGAAATTTAATCCATATCCCTTGTAAGAAGATAATGTCCAGTCCTACTGAAACTAATCTGAAACTTGCTGTGCTTAATGTCAGATCCTTGTCTAACAAATCATTTTTAATTAATAATTTGATCTCTTCGTATAATCTTGATTTTATGTTTTTAACTGAAACATGGCTTGACAAAAACACAGGTAATGCTGTTCTAACGGAATCAGCTCCACCCAACTACAAATTTGAATCTGAAACACGAGAAAACAAAAAGGGTGGAGGTGTCTGTGCAATATTTAGAGATCATATGGTTATGCACAGGTTGTCATTTGGGGTGTTTTCATCATTTGAGTATGTATCCTTTAAAATGGAGCTAAAACAATCTCCGTCCATACTCTATGTAGTTATATACAAGCCTCCCCAGCACCGTCAAAGTTTTATTGATGATTTTACCAGGATGCTTTCAATTGTATGCACAGACTTTGATGGTTTGGTCATTACAGGTGATTTTAATGTACATGTGGATAATGTCTGTGACAGAAATGCTAAAGAGCTCAGTGCTGTCCTTGAAACCTTTGGCCTGACTCAGCATGTGTGTGAGCCCACCCACAGCAGAGCGCAGCACACTCTGGACCTGCTCATTACAAAGGGGGTTAATATTTCAAACGTCAATGTGGTTGATGTTGCTCTGTCTGATCATTTCTGTGTCTTCTTTGACCTGTCTGTTTCTCCCAAACCACCGGCTGGTCCTGCAGTTGTTCGGAGGAGACACATAAATAACAGCACAGGTGCTCTGTTCATGGAAATGATAAACTTTGAAAATGCCTCATGTTCTAATGTTGATGATTTGTTGAACTCTGTTACTTCGAGTGTTTTGAATGTTCTGGACACCATTGCCCCTGTGAAGGTTAAAATGGTTAAAAATAAGCAGAAGGCGCCATGGAGGAATGACGACTCGGTCAGGGCACAGAAAAGGGAGTGCCGGAGGGCCGAGCGGAAATGGCGCAAGTCAAAGCTTCATGTTCATTATGAAATTTATAAAGAAAAGTTGTACGTGTTCAACCGGATCTTACGTAGAACAAGGGAGAGGTACTTTTCTGAAATTATTGGAAACTGCAGTAACAACTCGCGTGTCTTATTTGCAACAGTGAACAGATTAACAAACCCTCCAGCTCAACTGCCGTTGGAACTGATCTCCACATCTAAGTGTAATGAGTTTGCAGTATTCTTTTGCGACAAGGTTCAGACCATTAAAAATGCCATCAATTCCACAACACCAATAACAACCCTGCAGCCACCTAGACACTTAGAGCTGACTCATTTTGCACCTGTAACTGACAAAACTGTCCAAGAGATCATCACCAGTCTGAGTTCATCTACATGCTGCCTCGATGTGTTACCCACTAGATTTCTAAAGTCTGTGCTGAGCAGTTTGTTACCACCACTCGCTCACATAGTTAACATGTCACTACAATCTGGAACATTCCCAAAGGCCTTGAAAACTGCGGTCATAAAGCCTCTCCTAAAGAAGAGCAGTCTTGATGCCACAGTACTGAACAACTACCGGCCCATTTCAAATCTGCCGTTTTTAGGCAAAGTCCTTGAGAAAGTTGTTTACCAACAGCTTACTGACTTTCTCCTAATGAACAACTCCTTTGATGTTTTCCAGTCAGGTTTTAGACCCCATCACAGCACTGAGACCGCTCTTATTAAGGTGACAAATGACATCCGCCTGAACACTGACGCAGGCAAAGTCTCAGTTTTAGTCCTGCTAGATCTGAGTGCTGCTTTTGACACTGTCGATCATGAGATCCTTTCACAGAGACTAGAGGACTGGGTGGGCATCTCTGGCACTGCCCTAAATTGGTTGAAGTCCTATCTAGAAGACAGGAAGTACTTTGTTGAAATTGGTAACTGTGTCTCAGACCACATGGCCTTGACCTGTGGGGTGCCCCAAGGGTCAATCCTGGGACCCCTTCTGTTCAATCTCTACATGCTGCCTTTAGGCCAGTTAATACAAAGTAATAATGTGTCCTACCACAATTATGCAGACGACACTCAGATCTATGTCTCACTGACAGCAGGTGAATATGGACCAGTGGATTCACTCTGTCACTGCATCCAACAGGTCAGTGTGTGGATGCAAAACAACTTTCTCCAGCTAAATTCAGACAAGACTGAAGTCATCGTATTTGGTCCACAGAAACAAAGAGAAAGTGTCAGCAGTCACCTCCAGTCTCTCTCTCTAAAACCTACAAATCAGGTTAGAAATCTCGGGGTAATAATGGACTCAGACTTGAACTTTAACAGCCACATCAAATCAATAACATCAGCAGCTTTTTACCATCTAAAAAACATTGCCAAAATCAAAGGTATAGTGTCTAAACCTGACTTGGAGAGACTTATCCATGCATTTGTCTCTAGTAGGTTAGACTACTGTAACGGCCTGCTCACTGGCCTCTCCAAACGGGCCGTAAGACAGCTGCAGTACATCCAGAATGCTGCTGCTCGGGTCCTGACCAGAACCAGGAAGTACGAGCACATTAGTCCTGTGCTCAGGTCTCTACACTGGCTTCCTGTGGCTCAGAGAATAGACTTTAAAGCAGCTCTGCTTGTGTACAAGTCTCTCCACGGCCTAGCACCAAAGTACATCTCTGACATGTTAGTGCCATATGAACCATCTCGGACTCTGAGGACCTCAGGGACCGGCCTCCTGCTGGTGCCCAGAGTCAGGACTAAACATGGGGAATCAGGATTCCAGTTTTATGCAGCTAAAATCTGGAACAGTCTTTCTGAAGATGTGAGACAGGCCTCTACTCTGACAATGTTCAAATCTAGGCTCAAAACAGCTCTATTTCACTGTGCATATGACTGAAAGGATCTTATCTGCACTCTTCTCTTTTAAAGTTCATTTTATAATGATTATTTATGTTTTTAATTTGTATTGTGATTTTAATGCATTTTCTTGTTCTGTAAAGCACTTTGAATTACTTTGTGTACGAACTGTGCTCTACAAATAAACTTGCCTTGCCTTGCCTTGCCTATACTCTTTCTAATTCTACATTATTAATTTCCAAACAAAGTTTTGTGTTGATTTTCCAATTTCCAAATATGATGAACTTTGTTTTGTTTAGATTTAATGATAGCTTATTCTTATCGAACCAGCATTTTAATTTTGCTAAGGGGAATGGTAAAATAATCTGGCAGAACATAAACAAATTAACTGGTTGAAAGAATAAAAATGAGGAATGAAGAATGACCTCGAAATTAAAATAAATAATCGACTAGTGAAAAATCCAAGGATGGTGGCTGCTGAGCTTAATCTTTATTTTATCAACTCTGTTGACCATGCACATGCTGTTTTCTCTATAAAGGAGATCTCTGAAGCAGAAGTGGTAAATATCACCTGCTCTTTAAAAATCTCTAAAGCTAAAGATAACTATGGAATTGACTCTATTTTTTTGAAAGAGTATAAAGAATCTCTGATATGCCCAATCACGCACCTAGTTAATTTATCTATTAAGCACTCAGTTGTCCTTGAAGCCTGGAAGGTGGCCACAGGCCATCAGTATTTTGCCCATTATATCGAAAATATTAGAAAAGTGGATAGCCGAACAACTTATTGATCATTTAAAAATCAGCCAAAACATTTTGCATCCTATGCAATTTGGTTTCTGGGCCAACCATTCCACCGACTCAGCCATTTCTCTATTCTTGGAAAAAACAAAGTGCTTTTTAGATCAAAATAGCTGCGTTGGTGCTGTATTTTTGGATTTGAAAAAGGCTTTTGATTCTGTTAACCACCAAATTTTACTCAATAAACTGTCTTATTTTAACTTTTCCACTCAAGCTATCATGTGGATGAAATCATATCTCTCCAACAGAAAGCAGTGTATACAGGTCAACGGCGTAAAATCCTCCTTCTTAGAGTGTTCTACTGGTGTTCCACAAGGTTCCATCCTTTGTCTGATTTTATTCTCTTTGTATATTAATGATCTACCCAATGTTTGTTGTGATGGCTATATTCAAATGTACGCGGATGACGCAGTAATTTTTACTCCGGCAAAAAATGTTTAAGAAGCTGCTAACATTCTCACACTAGCAACAACTCAAATACAGTCCTGGTTGTCTAGTAACTCTCTGCTACTGAATACTAAGAAAACTGTGTGTATGATATTCTCAAAACAACCAGTAAAGATACTACATTCCAACATTTTTATAGGAGGAGAAGAGCTGCAGATTGTTCAGGAGTTTAAGTATTTGGGGGTTGTTCTGGATTCTGCACTATCCTTTAAGAGTCACATCAAGAAAATATCGAATACATTAAAATTTAATTTGTATAACTTCAAACAAATAAGAGGTTCTCTGACTGATGGTGCTGCTTTAACTTTCCTGTATTCAATGATTCTTTCGCATATTGACTATTGTATTACATGCTGGTTGTTTACTGGAGCAATGAATCTTAAACCTGTGGAGTCCCTGTACAAAAAAGCCTTGAAAATCCTGGACAAAAAACCCTTTTCATATCATCATTGTAATATCCTTTCAAAGTACAACCTGTTCAGTTTTGAAAATTTCAAAAAATTCAAAATTGCCTGCACGAAGTTTTACACAGACTAGCACCACCACCACTAAATGATTTTATCAGACAGAGAAGAACTAATGTTTCTATAACGCGAAACACCAGAGCCACCTCTAGAGGTGATTGTGAAGTGCCTTTTAGGTGGACTGCAGTTGGACAAAATGTTATGTCGTATGAAGGTAGCAAGCTCTGGAATAGCCTACCACTCTCAGTCAGAGAAGCTTCCAGCTTCATAACATTCAAGAGGCTTCTGAAGGTGTGGATTAGGACCAACCAGATCTGTGACC